ACACTTCCCTGGGTCACAGTCTGCTGTCACAAGACTGCTTATCTGACGTCTCCAAGTAGATAATTTCATTTAACTTGGTTTCCTTTTCCAAACCAACAATCACTGGATACAAAAATCTCCTCTTAAAAAAGTGCCCACAGCAGGAAGAAATGTTGAGGGTGGGAGACAAGGGTTATAAAACTGGACTGTGGGGCCTCCCTGATGGTGCGAGGGGTTTAAAGCGCAGCACTATGAAACTGTCCACAGCCACTTGGCCAGGGAGGTGACCACAGGGAGCAGGAGGCCTCTCCTGTCTCAGCGCTGCTCCCCTCAGCAGTGTACTTTATCGAGCCTCCTGTTATGCTCCCCACTCTGTCTCTGGTAAATCCTCATCCCCCCAACACCTCTGGCCTGTACCCCAGTTCTTATATGCACAAATATTTTTTAAAACAATACAACCGGACTGTGGTGATGGACACACAATTTACACATTCACTCAAAAGTATCGCCTGAACACACGCACTTGCAGTTGGTGAGTTTTACGACCTATTAATTATACCACAATAAAGCTGTTGAAAAATATGCTCATGATTCACAAAGTGAGCTTTTTCAGACTTCCAGCGTTATTCAGATGAAGTCTAAAAGCGCTCCTTTCTCCCATACTGCAACTGGATTTCACATTGTGAAGGGCGCGATTCTCCTCTAAAAAGGAGGATTTCTCAACTTGGGCACCGTGCTCATTTGGGGCCAGATTATTCTTTGTTGTTCGGGGTTGTCCTGTGCGTGGTGGGATGTTTAGCAACATCCCTGGCCTCTGCTCACTCCTTGGCAGCAGCTTTCGCTCCCCCCAATTACCCAGAGCAAAATGTCTCCAGACTTTGCCAAATATCCCCTGGGGACAAAAGAGCTGGGTGAGAGCCACTGCTCTGAAGGCTGACAGTTGAAAAAGAAATTTGCTCTCTGGAGGAGTGACTGACAAATACAGACAAAGGCATTCCCGGACTCTCCCCGACCACAAGGCTTGTTCCAGAGCCCCATTCACAGCCCCTTCTCTCAGGGGCGCCGCTGCTGCTGCTGCTGCCGCTGCTGCTGCTGCTGCTGCTGCTCCCGCTTTCTGGCCCCGCCCTCAGTGTCACTTCCAAATTATAAACCTTTTTTTCCGAAATGAGAACTAATTTAGTAGGTCTTCATTTGGAATTTAGGCATCTATTTGCGTCTAGGTAATTCTCTAAGTATGGCACTCAGCCCAGATGTAAAGAAAATTGTTCTCCCTAAATGCTTGCTGTCCAACGACCAGCCAGGCGTAAAGCCAGCACTAACCAGAACCTTTAGGTTTGGGGGGGGGGGGCCTTGGTCTTTTAACTTCAAGGCTGGAGCTATGGGCACCATCTTAAAGATGCAGCAATCAAGGCTCAGGGGAAAACTAGGTGACCTGTGTCCAAGGTCACACCAGGGCAGAGCTGGCATTAGAGACTCTTTAAGCCCTGTGTTCTTTCATGTTAATAGTTAATAGTGTCCCCTACTCTGAGCTGCCGTGAGGACTCAGCTGGGCCAGGCGCCCTGGGGATGGCTCCAACATACTGGTCCACTTTAAATCCTCCCAGTTATGCTGTTAAGGTGTGGTGGGGAGGGGGTGGGGTATTAGCCTGTTTTATAGCCGAGGAAATGGAGAGGAGGTGAAGTCCTTGTCCAAGGTCACACAGCAGGACATCCTGAAATTTGGACTCAGGTCAGTCTGAGCCCGAAAGCACATGAGCTTAGTTACTACACCTCCGGCCTCCCTCACATGTACATGACCTATTTCTTTAGGCGTGGTTGGCCTGAGGTTTTAAATAAGCAGATGACTTACACTCTAAGAAGATGTAGATTTGGTCTACTTCAGGATTTCTTTTTTCTTGTAATATTAAAAACCCAATCACATAGATGTCTATGAGGTACCTAGAAAGGCCCTACGTGGAAAATCCCCTCTACTCAATGTCAAGAAGTGATCAGGATAAAATTTCAGTGTTGCTATCCTAAGTTAATTATTTTCTCTTCTGTAGCTTCACTTAGATCTATTCAGAGGGACGTCAGAAAATCACACAACTAAAAATCATGATAAAAGTACCGCAAAAAGGAAAGTAAGAGAGTCCAGTAATTAGAGCCTCCCTAGTGGCTCAAGGGGTTAAGTCTCAGCACCATGAAACTCTAAGCAGCCACTGCAGCAAGAGTTCGATCCCCGTCAGGGAGGTGACCCACATGGCATGGCAGACCCCCTCCTGTCTCAAGTGATGCTTCCCTCAACAGTGTATTTCACTGGACCTGCCTGTTCTGCTCCCCACTCTGTCTCTGGTGAATTCTCACCCCCCCCCTCACCCCCCATGCCTCTGGTCTATACCCCAGCACTTGTATGCATAAATAAGAAAAATATATATCTATTAAGAAAAGATTCCAATAAATTTATATTGCAATGACTGGCTGGATGTTAAACGAAATGAAAGGAATTTGAAATGTACAGGGAAAGCTGGGCGTTAATGTTAAAGTAAAAAAAAAAAGTTTTCTGGTGGGAAGAGAGAATATGTGCAAAGGCCTTGGGGTAGAAGGAAAGTAAGGATCCCGATCGGGCAGGGCCCTGTGGGTCCCAGTAAAGAGAAGTCGAGAGCAGAGCATGATCAGGTCCACATGTTTCGTAATTACTCCAGCTGTGTCACATACCAGCAAAGGAACTCTCTGGGGCAACCTCTGCCAGAATACAGTTCAAAGAACACCACTCTAGATCCTGCAAAACAAGTTTGTTTCTCTCTCTCTTTTTTCTTCTCTGGGGTGTGGCACAGCACCTTGGCTGTGAACTAGCTCTAAACTTTTCAGTTTGTGTTATTTATGAAGTTTAAAAACCAGCTCTTTCATCAGGTCCAGTACTTGTTTTGCTTTCAATAGCCCCTAGACCTCTTCACACCCAATCAGAAACTGTTAAAAAGTAAAAAAGCAAATAGGAGAATGTCCCTGCCCAGGTTAGGACTCCTGGATACCCCTGACCACACCCCTCTCCAACCTGGATGCTCTAGCCAATGAAGTTCAAGCTCCCACTGGCCTAGCTCCAAGCTTTCATAACTGCTTTCGGTTTCTCCACTTCAAGAAGCGTCACCTCGCCCCACCCTGTGCTGCCAAGAGTCCTTGGCACCCATGACACTTCCTCCAGGAAGCCATTGGTAGCCCCATCGACCCAGGCCCCTGTCCAGGACCTGTCCTGCTCTAAATCCCAACACTGCTCCACAAATGCAGTTTGTTGAACTTGATGGTGACGGATTTACTGCCCACCTTCCAAGACCCCCAACACCGCCTGTACTGGGCATGCACACACCGTGCATGGTCAGCGGCTCCAAGAGAACAGATTCCTGGTGCCACGGTCCCAGATCCCAACGCCATGCTGGATACCCAGTTGGACCCTGGAAACAGTTACTGGATGAGTGGGCAAATAAAAATCACCCCTTTCAGAGTCTGTCAGGAGCAGAAATCCATCAGACTGCTCCTGAATGTGCACTTCACTCACTAAGTCTGAGACCATCAACACCAGGCACGTTTGCTCACCCTTTTAGCGGCCCTAAACTTCAGGAACATCTTCAGGTAGTAAGTAGTAGCAGGCAGCCGGGAGACGGGGGGTTCGTGATGGGAACCCAAAAAGCCCAGGACAGAAACACCGAGTTGACAAAGTTCCTCCGTGAGCTCAGCCTGGCCACAAAAGGCCGGAGACCGAGTAACTTAACTGACCTTGTTCTTGTTCTTGCTCTGTGCTCTCTCCCCTCCGCCTGCTACGCTCAAACTCTCGTTCTTTTTAACCTAAAGTCCCTCATTCCCACCCCCTGGCCCTTCAGCTTTCTCCCAAGCATATTTCCCTCATCATCTTCGCATTCCCTTTTCAGAAATACCACCCATGTGCTATTATTGTTTCACAATTTCGAATTCAAAGGGGATGAATATATTATTCAGAGCAGCACAAGGGACTTGCTAGGTCGAGTGTGGTCATCGGAGGAGCGTCATATCATCTGAGAATTAGAAATGTACAATCTCAGCCCACCCCAGATCTGCTGACTCAGAATCAGCGTTTTAATGAGCTCCCCAGGTCATTCCGATGCACGATGCATGCGCGTTAAAGTTTAAGCAGCACGGGGCAAGATCCCACATTCATTCTCCAAACATCTGTGGAACGGTAGGCTTCACAGTAGGCGGCGACAACATACATAAGCATGTGAATGGTGTGGGAAAAGGGCAAGCACAGACATTCCATTGCGGTTGAGAAACTCCTGCAAATTCTAAAAACTGCATACCAGGGGGAAAGGTTCTAACTGGACAGATCCTCTGTGCACCAAAATTCAGAAGTGTCCCCTGCAGCTCGGTTGTGAGAATCTGGAATCTGGGAACTTGACCCTGTTTGCAGCAGACGGGAGGAATACGCGGGAGGTGTGAGTGTGAGTGAGTGTGTGTGTGTGTCTGTGTGTGTTCCCTGCCTCAGCCACAGGCCGCAGGAGCTGACAAGGCCAAGTCCCCGCCCCCCTCAGCTGTCACCCTGTCAAAACAAAGCCGCTGCTGACAGCGCAGGGCTAGCAGCCCGCGGCCTCAGGCAAACCTCCCACCCCGCAAGCCGGGCGCCCACATCTGGATCTGCAGCGGAGGGGCCACGAGGTGCCAAGAGCCGGGATGGAGAGGGGTTGGGGGGGGGGTGCGGCAAGAAGCGCGTGCCCTCAAACTGAGCAGCAGCGCCCGCTGCGCCGGGCTGTGCCCTTGCCAAACGCTGTTTACACCCCGAGCAGCTGGGACAGCGTTTTAACCAAACAAGTAATAATACAATAATGACCGGGCTGCTCACCGCGCGCGCCTCCGCCCCCAGTAGAAGGCGCGGGGAGCTCCAGCCGAGGGGCTGCCGCGGCGCCCACTTTCCCACTCGGCTCGTTCATCCCCTTCCACCTCCCCAAGCGCCGGGAGTGCGAGCGCCCCTTCCACCCTCACTCTCGCACCCAGCTCCTCCCGGGGGGGCGGGGGGGGACATGGGGAGAGGGGCGGCCAAGACAGGGCGCTCGGCTTCCCCACCGAGGTTTCGCTGGCTCCGGGCGCTCGCCCCACCTCGAGCACCGCTCCACGCCGGGAAGCGAGCAGGCGAGCTCCTACAGAGCAGCAAAGCCCCAGGGCAGCGCCCGAGCGCCGACGCCGCGACAACTCCACGGGGGTGGGAAAGGGCGCGGAAGGGAAGCGGGAGCCGCAGGTTCCCCGACTCCCCAGCCGCAGGACAGGTCCGGGGAGC